GTAAGATAAATAAATAGAGATTAGCTTGTTCTGCCTTACTTGATTTTTTGAAAACAATGTTATATATATATATATATTAAGAAAAAAGATGGCAGGAAGAGACACTTGTGGAAAGGTATATATATCCCATAATTGCCAACAGCATGATTATTATCCATTCTGGTGAGTAGCATCTGGTTGAAAAAGTATATGAAGGGAAGCAAAAGAACTCACTATGTCCCAAAGGAAATTGGTGAACCAGTAAACAAAAAGGCTCACACCACTGACAAACTGGAGATGCTTGGCTTTTGTCACTTGTTCTTGGATCAGATATAAGACAAAGCTTGCTGGGATGAAAGACATGGCAAAAATCACGCAGATGGAAACAACAGCATCTATTGAGGTGGTCAGCCTGTAGTGAGACATGTCAAGGACAGCCAATAAGCCAGATCCAACAGCCACAAAAGTTACTTCTTGTTTGGTTCACATTTCACCACAAAGTTGACATTAGACATGGCTGATTGTACACCCACCACTGAAGACAGCAATCCCAGTTCTACTTTTCTGACAGAATCTACTAGTGGTAAACTTTTACTATGGCTGCACTATTGAGTTTTTCCTCCTACTTCATTTTGCTGGTGGAGAAAGAAATCTGAACCAGTTGTGACTTGGTAAAAGATACACTGGGCTGCTGTTGCAGAGACAACCATACATTTCCCATCATTCATTCATTTGTTGCAAACTGTGTATAAATATAGCAGTTAATATAACTAGCTTGAGATTGCTTATTGAAAGGGGTCCAATTTTGTGTGAGGTACAATATGCATTTTAAAAGTACTATCGTTTAAATACTTTTAGCTTGCCAACAGACATATTTTTCTAAGCTTTAAGCTGTGGTGCCCAGACCTAGAAGGGAGGGAGCAGGAGGAATAGAATTAAAACTGCAATTGGAGTGAATTAGAAGTAGAAAAGCAAATGAATGTTACCTACACAGTGATTTCAGACAACTGATCCTTAGTGAGGTTCAGTGGATGGTTAATAGCAGTTATCCCATATTCTTCTGGATCTCTATTTTGTTGCAGATTGGCTCTCAGAATTGCATTGTTGGCTACGTTGAGAAAACTGACTATAGCATGCCAGCCTTTATTGTTAAACCACACCTGGAAGAACAAAGGAGAAGAAGATTATAAACTTCAGCCAGTCAGAATCCTTTAAAATTCTGATTTTATCAGGAACAAGCAACAGACTGGTGTATGATGCCTAACTGCTCATGCTGCTAATGACAGCAACTAAACAGTTTTCATATCTGTTTTATTTATTATTATAGGCACATTAGTACTCTGGTTTTTTTCCCCATAACAAATCAGGGCTAACTTTTTCCTCTTGTTCATACTTCAGCATTGGCTTATTCTTTGGAATTACAAGGAAAGCTGGAACTTTACTTTTTCTCTTTCTCTTTCTTTTTATTCAATTTTTATGTTTAAATAGGGAAATCAGCAGAACTTTCTTTTTTCTCCTTCTTTGGGTTTGAATAACAACGACAATGCATTAATGTGCATGTATAGGGATGCTGAAAAGGCTTTGCAGAAGTCTGAACATTGAAATTCCGGATGTATAGTATCCTTCTTAGGATTTCTAGATTTTTTTTTAATCTGGAACATATACAGGTAGTCTTCAGCCTACGGCCACAATTGAGCCCAAAATTTCTGTTGCTAAGTGAAACATTTGTTAAGTAAATTATGCCCCATTTAAAGGCTTTTCTTGTCAGAGTTGTTAAGTGAATCACTGCAGTTATTAAGTTAGTAATACGGTTGTTAAGTGAATCTGGCTTTCCCATTGACTTTGCTTGTCGGAAGGTTGCAAAAGCTGATCACGTGATCCTGGGACAGCTACCTGTCATAAATATGTCAATTGCCAAGCATCTGAATTTTGATCACTTGACCATGGGGATGCTGCAACGGTTGCAACTCTGAAAAATGATCATAAGTCACTTTTTTTCTGTGCCGTTGTAACTTTGAATGGTCACTAAATGAACTGTTGTAAGTTGAGGACTACTCGTACTGGTGTTTTGCAGTCTCAAGATGGATATAAAGTATGCATTTTTCATCTTGTTTCTAATATAAATTACTCCTGCTTATTAATTTGTTGGTATCATGGGATATTAAAGGATTGGATGGATCTCCTTTGTGGAACCTTTTCTGAGACACATCTCCTTCTAAATAGGCCTGCTGATCTGAGTGCAAATTATCTAGACAAACATTACATGGAAGCAAAATGTTTTCTGTATCTCTTTGCTCCCATCTAGAGATCATCCAGATATGACTGGCTTATATTAAAGAACAATTACAGAATTACAGCATATCCATTGAAGCTTTCCCTTACAGAAAGTTTCAATGGATATGCGTACACAAGTGGTACATACAACCGTAATGGAGCCAGCCCATTACAGTCATATGTCATAAAGGGTCATAAAACAGGTCGATCACATGACCAACCCAATTTTACGAACTTTTTGGGTGGTTGTTAAGTGAATGCAGCTATTGTAAAGTGAACCAATGACTCACAATGGGCTTGGTTTTACCGAAAACCAGAAGAGCTGATTACTCGATTATAACAAAATAATTTTACAGTACTATAAGATTAAATTTAATTTTCAGTACTATTCAATATTGCTGATTGTTGTTTGTTAATATCTGGAATAGTGCGTGCATGCGTGTGTGTGCACACGCACGCGTATGAGAGAGAGAGATTGCAAAAAAGCACAAAAGAAAATTGAGCAATCCAAACAGTTTGGGAGGGTTATTTTGTTTCATAGAATTGTTCACTTTCTTTTCTCTTCTCCTTTTTTAGTTGTAATGTTACATTGCATAATTTTTATTTTTGTGCCTTTGAGTCAATATTGACTCCTGGTGTTTGCCTGGAAAAGTCCTGCAGTTTTCTCAGCAAAATTTTGGAAGTGCTTTGCTCCTGGTTCTTTCCTAAGGCTGAGAATCACCCAGCTGACTTTGTGCCCAAGGCAAGACTAGAATTCAAACTGTCCTGGTTTCTAGGTACCTGAATCATTATACCAGACTGGCTCTCATATTGTAAGAATATGCCTGCAAAACCAATTTTGGTAATTTGGTATCATACAATACTTTTTAAAAAAATGCTGCTCTTCAAAGTCAACAAGACATGCAATGTTTTGTAAGATTACATAAATGTACATGTTTCTGAATCCAAGGCTGTATTGGCACACCAATATGTTACAGGTTCCCAAACTATCTGCTAATAATTCATATGGGTAATAATCCATATACTTTTATTAAACTTGTTCTATTCACTCTTCCATTTCCTTACTAAAAAGCAAACATCTCAATCGAATAATAACAAAAGTTATTATTCTCTTTAAATTAATGCTCACTTTACTGAACTTACTGTTCAGTGATCGAGTTAGGCAAGATTTTATGAAAATAATTATTAAAATACCTTAATATTGTGTTCAGTTTCCATATATTTAAGAAAAGCTGACATTTCTTTAGCGACAGTCATTGTTGTTTCACCCTAGACAACAGAAGGGCAAAGGCTCAGAATTTCTTGTTTATATTTTAGTTTTACAAATACTAAATAAATTGTTAGATTTGGTGATAATCAGGTGACAAGGTAGACACAAGAGTTCTTTCTTACCCCTGTTATATTCATCATTCGACCAAGGTCCCTCATAAAATCAACAATTTGGTCTCCAGTAATATGCAGCATTGGAAGTTTCCCTCCAATGGAAATTCCTCCATATCTAAATACAAGATTACATAATCTTCAGTTCCAATGGGAGAACCATACTCCGCTTTTAAAAAATAACAAACACAATAAAAGTTCCCTTCAACATAATTATACAGTACCTCTCTCACAAAAAGGAATATGTCTATGGAGATTCTCAGTCCTCCATAGACTGGAGACACGGTTGTCTCAAAGATGCTTTTTCAAAAGGTAACTGGACTGTTTTTATTGAGGAAGAAGAAGAAGATATTTCAGTTCTTCTCATCCAAGAAGATTCATCTGAAGAAGCGAAATGTCATCTTCTTCCTCAATAAAAACAATTCCATCGCCTTTTGAAAAAACACCTTTGAGACAAAAAGGAATATGATTCCCATTTTCCCATTGTTGATAGAGAATTGCACAACCAAAATAAATACAGGTAGCTCTCACCTAATGACCCTGATTGGGACTGGCAAGTCTGCCAATAAGCGAAGCAGTCACTAAGTGGGAAATCCCATGATCATGACCAGTGGTAGCCAACCTTGGCTCTTTTATGACTCGTGGACTTCAACTCCCAGAATTCCTGAGCCAGCATGGAAATCTCTCCCTTTCCCCTCAGCATGGCTGGCTCAGGAATTCTGGGAGTTGAAGTCCACGAGTCATAAAAGAGCCGAGGTTGCCTACTCCTGACCATGACTATGTTTTCTGGCCAGAAAGAGATAAAACTAGTCAGTATCACAGCTTTGGCTTTTGTTTGCCTCCTAACCACTTCCCTGCCCTTTGGAATGCTCAAGTGCCTATAAGCAATTTATAGAGCATGCCTTTGGCTCCTAGGCCTGAGCTGCTGCTACAATTACATTGCTTTCAATGTGTCGAAAAGCAGTTTATTCTCTTGCAAATCCTTTCTCTCCAATCTCTTCTCTGCTCTGCAAGATGGGATAAACAGATTAGGGGGAATAGAACAACACTGTAATGGTGATCATATGACTAAGGGATGCTGCAAAGATCATAAATTGTCATAAATGGGCTATACAATTATTTTTTCAGCACACTGTTATATTTTTGAATGATGACCGAAGAAAGTGAGGACTATTTGTATTGTTTCCAAACCAAGCATAGCCCTCTATTTGTATTTCAGACAAAATAATAATTAATCTTATTGTCATTTATTTGAAATCAAATTCTTGAGACTTAAAAAAATCAACAAAAGATATACAGCACATAGTTGTCCTACCTTTGCTCATTGACCCAATATTTACTCTTTAAGCTGCCAAGGAAAATAAAAACATTAAAAATGTAATAATCTTTAACATACTGCATTAATTAAAATTCTTTCAGATACAAAATTATATCTGTGCCATGAGGATCAGCTTGGGGATTTTGTGGCTATTCTGCTGACAGAGATGTCACTTTAGGAATTTATAAGCCTCTTCAGATGATTGGTGAAAAGGATGAATCTATGCAGTCTGTACACTTAATCCCTGTTTCTGACCACTATTTGTTCATTTGACCTGGACAGAAGCTATGAACGTACAAGTTATAGAAAATAATTCTTTGATGTGTATTTTGCTCAGTACATTTTCTGTATAAATGAGCATAATTAAACCTCACTGAGATTTTTTTTCCAATAAAAAGCAGATAGATAAAAGGCAAAAATTTGTTATGGATAACAGACAAATAAATGTGTATACAGAGAAATAAAAAAAAATAGCAAGGATTACATAGGTGGAACTTGATCACTGAGAAGTGTCTTCGATTGCATTGTTGAAGCTGAGTAGCAAAACACAGCACCGCTACAAGTGGACTAGATGTTTTTGTTACCTAGTAGGAAAGCTACAGTACATAATAAGCTTTCCAGATTGCCCTTGAATTAAACCCAAATAAAAACTGTCGTATAGTAGCACTTGTGTGACAGTTTCAACTTCCTTCATGCCTCAAGGCCAGAGGATAGTATTGTATTTCCAGTGCAATAGTGCAGAGGGAAGGTTGTTGAAAAGTGCACTTGTGAAAGTCAAGCAATACTTAGAATAGGTCAGTTTACTGGGAATTGGTGAGAAGAGTCTCACAAAAACTGGTGAGCATTGTAACAATAATCCCTTTCATTAAAAAAAAAACAAGTACTGGATTAGCTTTGATTATATTATTGTATTTATTTCTTTATAGCATATAAGCTCTTCTTTTCAATATCAAAGAGACAGGGCAGAAAAAATATACTGCTATGGCATATTTGTATTATGGTTAGATGCAACTGGAAAAAACCCACAGAAAATTGAACAGCTGACTTGTTATTCAGAAGTCTTAGGACCATACCAACAATCCATTCATACAAACTGCCACAGATTCCTAGCTAGACTCATTCATCACACAAAGCTATTGTATAATGTATTCTTTTACTAGTTTTATGTGGGAACCTGCCAATATAGCTTCTGAATTTGAAAATGTATAAATAGAAAAGTCCCAACCAACCTGCTTCTTATTAGAGTGGGGTATGTTTTCACCAAGAAATCAGAAATATTTCGGTAAGTGAGATCCTGAAGAATTTCTGTACTATGCTGAACCCTCTATAAGATGAAGAAAATACTCATTAAATTCTTAGTGGTTATAATTTAGTATGTCAAAGATTCAGAGGCAAGAAAAGACCTCATAGGAAAGTTTTAAATTGAAAGGAATGTTATTTTACTGGAACCTGAAAGCTGCCTTGTCTTCCTTTGGGATTTTATTTGTATATTTTGATCTCAAGCCACATAAAATAACTATAAGCCACATTGGATTTGCTGAATGCTTCAAAAGATTTGTAAGCAGGGAACTAAAAATGTTGGCAAGTGACATTTAAATCCTGACTTTTACTGTAAGACAGCTATAACAATTTAAACACACATATACATTTGTAATTTTAGTGAACAAGTACAACAGTCTTGTGGCACTTTTTAAAGTCTAATAGTTTAATGCAACAGACTGTGGGTTACAAAAACTTACTCAATAATTGCTTAGTTTTTTAAGTTCCAGAACAGTCTTCATATTTCCTGCAATTTTAAATGAATACATTTTCCGAGATTGTGATAACTGAGTAAATATACAATTCTTTTGTAGCTAGCAAGTAAAATCTATGAAGAATGTGAATTTAACCACTGAGAGGCAGTGTTGCCTTCCTGTAACAAATATATGGGATTATTTTCTTTGAAGTAATAGCAATTTTATAACCCATCCAGTAACTTTTGGCAAAGCAGTCTGGAAATAGTTTCCTAATATATCCCTGATTTTAGAAAGAACAATTTATGTAATTATGTATTATTATTTTGTATTGACAAGGCTAAACAAAATCTCTGTGTATCGTTAAAAAGAACTTATGATCAAAATTCCCATTACTGATGCCCTTTTATTGCAGTTTATCATCTCTTCGCAGTCTTTTCCAACCTGTGCTCATTCTGGATGGAATGAGTAACAGGGCTTTGGTAAGCTTTAGTTCCCAGGCTGGGAAAATCCCATGATACTTACATTCCTAAAATGTTCTTTGTCATTTCTGAACTAGAGCTTCGGAGATTATTCTAAATTTTATATTTTCGTAATGTACTACCGTGTTTCCCCGAAAGTAAGTGAGTCTTTTTTGGGGGGGGGGGGCTCCAAAAGAGACACCAGGTCTTATTTTCGGGGGATGTCTTACTCACCTCTGACACTGACAGCCCCGGCCAGCAGGTCCACTTCTTCTGTGGCCGAAGGAGCAGCTTCATTCTGCAGCTGCATTCCGGCCTGCATTTTGCAGTCAGGCTTTTCCAGAGGTCTTGCAGAACCGAAATATGGATTGAATCCATAGTTCAGTTCTCGGCTGCAGTGGCCTTCCGGAAAGGCCTGTGACTGAGAAATACAGGCCTGGCTGCAGAAGATGTCGCAGAAGAAGTGGGCCGGCAAGGAGAGGCCTGGCTGCAAGATAAGTGGGTGTGGGGCGCGTGGGGCAGCTCCACCCCCGCATCCCCGCCCTAGCTTGATTTTTAGGTGTGTGCCTCGCCCCAAAACTAGGGCTTATTTTGGGGATAGGGCTTATATTAGGCCCACCCCCAAAAATCAAGCTAGGGCTTATTTTCAGGGTAGGCCTTACTTTCGGGAAAACACGGTATACTACTTTAGATGCAAACAGAGTAGTAGAATCGATATTATCAGGTCTTCTCTACTTCTGTGCTGCCATTTAGAGGTCATCCAGATTTTGCAGCTGAGTAGCCCCTAACGTAATGTTCTGTTTTTCCTTAAAAAAATGCATACACACCCCCCAAAAATTAAAGGTTTCTAAAACTATTTCAGTAAATTATAATCAGCCCAGAGGACCTTGTTATTTTGCTTTATTGATTTATGGTCAAAGACCAAAACAAAGGAAAGCAAAACTTATAGTAATTAAGGTGCTGAATCAGAAGTAGGGAGATCCAGGTTCAAGTCTGCCATTAATCATTCAGTCATAACCATTAATCAGAAAAACTCACTCAGTGGTGAGAAACTTTGGGCCAGAAAGTATATCTCAGCTCAATCAGAGGCACCATAAAGGGGGAGGGGATCAAAAAGATGTAATGTCAAAATGAGTGTTGCTGAGATTCTTTGAACCACATATTGGGATGTTGCATAGACATGGAAAAGAAGCTGAATTTATGGCACAATGGCACAATTTTAAGGACAACATCACATCCTGAAGACTCCTCTGATTACAGTATGGTGGATTGTTGAGAGAGAAAAATAAAGATGAAAGAAAGCAGCATATGCCACTCTAAACTACCGAAAGAATGATGGAATATAAACAAAACAAACTTCTGGTTATTAGGATGATTAAGGTGAAGAAATGAATACATTTAACACTATATTTTTTGCAAATACATTTTTTAAAAAAATGCTATTCTTCCATGTCAATATATCTGCCTGGTGAATATGTTATCCCGAGCTTCCCTCCCACTGTTAATCTAATTCAACAAAAGTCACAGTGCTTCGTATTAGTAGTTGATACTCAAACAGTACCTGTGGTGGAGGAAGACCACCTGCTCCCAGTGGACACTCTGGTAGCATGGTGAGTTTCTTCCTAGTGCTGCATTCACACGCAGGTGAGGGGTTGTCAGGACTCCATGTGTTAATCCGAAAAAGAGCAGACAGATGGTAAGGGACAGGCGGTGTCCTCCAGGCCATCGATGTAGCAATGCAAGGGTAGTTACTATGCAGGGATACAAAACCCAGTGTCCACATCAAAGTGATCACACATGATTCCTGCAAAATTATTGTATTTATACTTCTCAAAAATCCAAGGGAATGCCTCCTAAACATTCTTCAAACAGAAATGAATGACATTCGGTTCTCTTCATCACAATCTTGTGGATTTTTTTCCATACAGAAGCCTTATAAACATAATTAATTTCATGTCTAATAATTAAAATTAAATTACATTTTATTTACATTTATATTTAAATACGATTAATATCATTACCTTCCCTTTCTGTTGCATTAAAAGATACAAACTTTTGGAGGTCTCTAGGGAATGCATTCAAGTTTTTCAGAGACTACATACAATCATAGAGTTTGAAGGAATCTCAGAGGTCATCTACTCCTGCTTTCTGCTCAATGCAGATTCCATCCATCCATCTCTGATTCATAACCATACTCTGTCTGAAAACCTCTAGGGACTTAGGTTGGGCATCTCCAAGTTATCAGGTGACTTTCCATATTTAAAAAGAGTAACTCAGGGAGATGCTTCCTAAAATCTTCAGACTTATTTAACTTCTTTATTAAACAGCAACATAATAGTCAGAGAAACAGTGTCTTCCTATTTCACCACCTCCCCAGACTAGAGTAATGAAGTCCATAGAATTACTAGTAAAACTGTTTGTTCTAATATATCTAGGCAAGACCCATCTTTTTTAAAAAAAAATACACAAATGATAATACCTGGTTTTACACATCCTTCTATCCTATAGAATAGTTTGTTTTGTGCTTAGCACAGGCTGTAAGCCTAGTAGTTGTACAGGTTTACAAACTGTAAATCTATTGTGTCAACTCTGAAGCTATGTTGGTTGGTATTCACATTTTAGGTTTCCACTACCGGTGTTTCCCTGAAAATAAGACTGGGTCTTATATTCATTTTTGCTCCAAAAGAAGCATTAGGGCTTATTTTCTGGTTAGGTCTTATTTTCAGGGAAATATGGTACTAAATGCGTCCGTCTGGCTGACGATCTTAACTGGGGATTATTTTGGGGGTGGGGCTTATAGTAAAGCATCCTGAAAAAAAATCATGCTAGGGCTTATTTTCCAGTTAGGTCTTATTTTCAGGGAAACACGGTATATTAACACTCAGCTCTTCTTCACTTCATATTTTGTTTTATCCTTTGATGCCACTATCAAGTTTGTATTTTCTTCAAATCACTACTTTTACTCAATGTTCAGAAGGCAAATCTTTCTGGGGTTATCACCCTCCTGTTTATTCCTATGTATTATGGCTGATTGCCAAAACAAAATAACTAAAATGAACTGTTTGCTCCTTTGGGGGTAGCATTTGTTCCAGGGAGGACATCAAAAAGTATTTTTAATCTGTGTGGGCTGAAATTCCTTAGGTCAGATGCAGCACAAAACTCCCATCTCTTAGAAGACAATGCAAGGAGAAAATGAACATATGGAAAGAGAAGTAAAAAACAAACACTTAGACAAACTATTCCCAAGATGATGCCTTCCAGATATGTTAGCATTCAGTTTGTAGAATTTACAGCCAACATGAGCATCAGTTTATTTAGATCAAATTTTGTATACATTTAATTATAAATCCACTTAAAACCCAATAGTTTTATTTCTAATAGATGTAGTAGAAGTAACTCATATGAATCTAGCCAGATTTTCTTAATGTTATTTCGTGATTGTAAACAATCTCGACAGACTGATCAATTAAAATAA